CTGAGTGATGTGAAGTACACCCTGACTTGTTAGCATACACTCTGAGTGATGTGAAGTACACCTCCCTGCCTTGTCAGCATACACTCTGAGTGATGTGAAGTACACCTCCCTGCCTTGTTAGCATACGCTCTGAGTGATGTGAAGATCACCTCCCTGTCTTGTTAGCATATACTTTGAGTGATGTGAAGTACACCTCCCTGCCTTGTTAGCATACACTCTGAGTGATGTGAAGTACACCTCCCTGCCTTGTTAGCATACACTCTGAGTGATGTGAAGTACGCCTCCCTGCCTTGTTAGCATACGCTCTGAGTTATGTGAAGTACACCTCCCTGCCTTTTTAGCATACACTCTGAGTGATGTCAAGTACATACCCCTGCCTTGTTAGCATACACTCTGAGTGATGTCAAGTACACCTCCCTGCCTTGTTAGCTTACTCTCTGAGTGATGTCAAGTACACCTCCCTGCCTTTTTAGCATACACTCTGAGTGATGTCAAGTACATACCCCTGCCTTGTTAGCATACACTCTGAGTGATGTGAAGTACACATCCCTGCCTTGTTAGCATACACTCTGAGTGATGTCAAGTACACCGCCCCTGCCTTGTTAGCATACACTCTGAGTGATGTCAAGTACACCACCCCTGCCTTGTTGGCATACACTCTGAGTGATGTCAAGTACACCACCCCTGCCTTGTTAGCATACACTCTGAGTGATGTCAAGTACACCACCTCTGCCTTGTTAGCATACACTCTGAGTGATGTCAAGTACACCACCCCTGCCTTGTTAGCATACACTCTGAGTGATGTCAAGTACACCACCCCTGCCTTGTTAGCATACACTCTGAGTGATGTCAAGTACACCGCCTCTGCCTTGTTAGCATACACTCTGAGTGATGTGAAGTACACCTCCCTGCCTTGTTAGCATGCACTCTGAGTGATGTCAAGTTCACCTCCCTGCCTTGTTAGCATGCACTCTGAGTGATGTCAAGTACACCTCCCTGCCTTGTTAGCATGCACCCTGAGTGATGTGAAGTACACCACCCTGCCTTGTTAGCATGCACTCTGATTGATGTCAAGTACACCTCCCTGCCTTGTTAGCATACACTCTGAGTGATGTGAAGTACACCACCGCTGCCTTGTTAGCATGCACTCTGAGTGATGTCAAGTACACCACCCCTGCCTTGTTAGCATACACTCTGAGTGATGTCAAGTACACCACCCCTGCCTTGTTAGCATACACTCTGAGTGATGTGAAGTACACCACCCCTGCCTTGTTAGCATACACTCTGAGTGATGTGAAGTACACCGCCTCTGCCTTGTTAGCATACACTCTGAGTGATGTGAAGTACACCTCCCTGCCTTTTTAGCATGCACTCTTAGTGATGTCAAGTTCACCTCCCTGCCTTGTTAGCATGCACTCTGAGTGATGTCAAGTACACCTCCCTGCCTTGTTAGCATGCACCCTGAGTGATGTGAAGTACACCACCCCTGCCTTGTTAGCATGCACTCTGATTGATGTCAAGTACACCTCCCTGCCTTGTTAGCATACACTCTGAGTGATGTGAAGTACACCACCCCTGCCTTGTTTGCATACACTCTGAGTGATGTCAAGTACACCGCCTCTGCCCATCTTACTGCAGCTGAATCATGCGAAATTTGCTATGTCATGTTACTATGAAGCACACGCTGAGTGACAAAGCGGGTATGTTCACCCCCAGGAATTCCCCACATTCTACGAGTGTGAGGGTGGTCTAGCGGCAGTCCCGGTCAGATGTGACGACGGTAGTACATTGTGTACCGACCTTCTCCAGTAACACCCGGGATAAGCCTGGCCGCTGGACTGTGACACCAGACTCCCCTGTGTTGACCAGCTTTATATCACAGAGTCAAGTTGACCAGCTTTATATCACAGAGTCAAGCTGGCGGTCAGTGGCGAGCGGACGTTTAACGGGCGGAGGTCCATGTGTTGTAGGTGAGTGTTCAGTATGAGGAAATGTTGTTATAGTGTGTTTAAACGAGGCTGGTAATCACTGTATGTCCCACGTATGTTATGTGCATTTGTGTTAGTATCTGTAATTATTAAATACATGTATGTTATAATGCCTTTAGTGGTTGGTTGTGGTAGCGGGAGGCAATAACTGGTTATAGAAAACAACTCCTACCTCCATACGAAGACTGTTCTATACGAAGAAAGTGACTTCCAGAGGTAGGAGAGAAGCTGGGAAGGTCATTTGAATGTGTTTAGGTTATAAGGTTTGAACAAGGGGCCCAGATCTCCCTCCATTTGGAATATTATTGTACCTACACACATACAGATGGGTTTACACCTTATATAATGAAATGATAGCAAACATGCACTATGCATCAACGTATATCTTCAAGTGCCCCCTTTCCCAAAACGCGTTCTAACCACCCATCCCACCCCTTTCGACGTGGATCATCCATCCGTCCATCAACCCACCCATCCACCCACCCCCTGTGCCGGGGAACGCCCACAGACAATGTGAGCATCATGTGTCGCAGAGTTCACTTACAACACTCAGTGTGCCTCAAAACGCGAGTCACATGCATAAACTCCACCAAACAATTACTTTTAAATTTAGCCGTAAAATGAGTAATATCCTTAAAACGCCCCACACGGACATAATTGGTGTACATATAGACACGACAAGGTGTGCATATATTTGCCGAGGCCCACGCGAATCCTGTCATAGTGAAACTGTAGAGGAAGGGCGTTACGTCATATTGGCTGGAGGAAAAGTAGGCAAATAGTTTGATATGACGATTAAATATAAATTACGTATTCAGCGAAGTTGTAATGATAAAAGGTGTTAGTTTCGGTTTTTGTAAATATTTGAAGTGTTTAATCAAAACAGAAAATCTGCATTTTATTTTGCACTGTGGGGTGAGCTCTCTTTAGCACGATAGACTGAGCGACCAAAACCTTCATCCTTCATCTGAAAGCGGAAGGTTAATACTTTCAATGCAGTGTACTACTAAACCGGGTTAATCCGGTACAAATCAAGGTGAAATGCCTGGATTAAAGCGTCATAGTTACATAACAGTAAGTATTACCCATGCAACATGTGTGGCAATGACTTCATGCACCTTATGACGCTGTCTAAATGTGTTAACACTTGTACCATTGATACCGTAACACAAATATTGACGTCATGAGAACACATGCTTACGTAATACAGACACTGTTGATGTAGAGACCTATATATTGATGTTGACGTCATACAGATTCGTGCATACGTTCACCTATGATGACGTAATGTAGACACCATTCACGTGCAAACATATGCACACCTGATGATCTGATACAGTCACTGTTGACGTCGCACAAATACGTGCACCCCTCGTGTATCAACGTGCACCGATGTTGACGTCATAAACTCTGATGACGTCATACCTATTTTCGTGATTATGTTTCCATACCGCACCAGAGTAGCCTATCAACTAAAGGCAACACTACTGGTTATACATCGGGATCTGAACTGAGGCAAATCTCGTGATGTCTATTTGGGAAGCTTATGCACTACTTTTGGCGATGCAGCTGACTTCACGTGAAACACCAAAGTGAACGGACAGTAACATAAAAGCAAATGTTTTTAAGATTCCCGTTTATGTTTGACTGCGTATCAAAAGTGGAATTTTGACAACACAACTATTCATAGCCACGGCTATTGATTACACTGTTGAATTTATTGTTCACATGGACGCATTCGAGCGGGAAGGGTCAGCTACAATGTTTTGAGTATTGATCTGTTGTGTACCTCCCACTGCAAGGAGCGCTTTGATACTATGTATCTTTACAAGCGTATGTCCATTCAAGCCGGAAGGGGTAATGTTGGGTGAGCTCAAGCCACACGCGATGTCTAGCTATGTGTTGTACCGTTCACATGCGATGCAATGATTTCCTCTCTTCATAAAATCGGGTGAATAAGATTTATCAATACATCAATTCAATATTTTAGTGGGATATAAGGTCACGTGACGTGCTCAGTATCGCCGGAATCGTTAAGCGTCTCTACAAGATTAGCAAAGCATTAACGCTTAAATGATCCATCCATGTTTGGAAACGATCCAAAAGATCTGTAGATTGGTGTACTGCGTTCCACTTCTCCGTGATATATGAAGTTCGGGGCTCCCAGTCATCCAGGCCGCCACAATTCGTGCTGATGAGTTGTGTCCCTTGTCTGTGCCAGAAGCCGACGATCGATGTGTTGGAATCCCATTTTCGCTCTGTTTATTGTGTTTTTGTTAGTAACTTCTTCATGCAAGTCGGTGCTTGCTCGTAATATAAATCACGGGTTTGTCAGATTCAGACTCCATTATTTACAGATGTGTTCCTTATGTGTCACTGTGCTCTGTTGTCATGCTCATGTCGTCAGTCATCGGATTATCTGATTCAGACCGGACTGCTCGTCCTGGTATCGCCCAACACGGCGTAAAACAACATGTCTCACCTTTTGACGTTTCGAATGAAAGGAATTAGTTTATATTTATATCTTACATGCCTTTACAAATGTTTTTTTCACACAGTGATACATACAATGATTCAAACAGCACAAGTGCAAGAGAGTCATACGCAACATACTCATTCATTGCTGTAAATGCCTCTTGTCATAATGTAAACAGATTAGGTTTGAGTCAGGAATATACATGAGTACAATAATACTATCCCGTAGCACACTTTCATACTGGACAATGGACGGCATGCGCACACCATTAGTCACCGCGCTGGTTATAACTTTACTTTCAACTGCTTGAAAACATCTGATGATCTCCAGACAACCGGGTGTGTTCTCAATGCACAGCTTTACAACTGCTTCTATATGCGGGTGTTGAGTATGTACTTTGTACACGCATGCGCAGATGCGTGGTAGGATTAGTTGACATTCATGGCAGTGCGTGCAGTTCTCACAGACTACAGCGGTGTTGGCGGATTATTGTCGGTCCACGAGTTCTACTGTGTAGAGTCAGTAAGTTATATATCGCCCTTCATTATCCATCGGAGTACACAATTCATTCAGATTTCTTTATGACAAACACTCTGGACCTTTCTCTGGACTGTTATTGTGTTTTTCGTTGGGTGGGATCTGTCTAGCTCAGTTTTTCAAGTACGGTGTGACAGCCTAACGCTGAAGTAGTGACTAGTTTGTGCAGGTTATATCAATTTACACCCACGAGGACAGGTGCGTTGCTGACAAACGAAGACTAACGAGCAGGGCGCGCCTGGGATTCGAACCCAGGATCATCGGATTCTTGCACGGCTAATCAACTCAAGTCTACATAATGCTAATGGGCTGGACGTAACACTGTAAGTAACGTGTCACAGTTGTCTGCCTTTGTGTGATCAGGATGTCATGTATCTAAGGATGTGTTATATATAGAAAACAAAGCCTTAGTCAGTTCTATGAAGGATGCTTGTCAGTACAAACAGACGTTCGATCTGTTGAAGAAGGAAGACCGGGCTTATCATTGGTGCAGATGCATTTGCTTTCCACTTCCTGCAATTCTCCTAGAGAGACGAAAGTATGATTCAACCAACTTCCTTGTGCAGCGTTGTTGAATGATACCGCCAGACACAGGATATATTACAATAAACAAAGCCGTTTACAGGTCATAACATATGTATCACACCCTTATCTTCCGACTTTCCATGATATAATACAAACAATAAGCGGTTAAAAACTATCATAAATATCCATCTTCATCATCGGGTGTTACTGTTTAACCGTTGAATATGACTTGAAGTTATATGATGTTTATAAGAATACGAATGTTGAAGGAACAGTATGTGTTAAAAATAACACTTTTGAGTAAAAGTTATGTGTTAAACTAAGACTGTTGCGGTAATATTATGTTTTAAACTAAGTGTTGTGGTAATATTATGTGTTAAACTAAGAGTGTTGCGGTAATATTATGTGTTAAACTACGAGTGTTGCGGTAATATTATGTGTTAAACTAAGTGTTGTGGTAATATTATGTGTTAAACTAAGAGTGTTGCGGTAATATTATGTGTTAAACTAAGAGTGTTGTGGTAATATTATGTGTTAAACTAAGTGTTGTGGTAATATTATGTGTTAAACTAAGAGTGTTGCGGTAATATTATGTGTTAAACTAAGACTGTTGCGGTAATATTATGTGTTAAACTAAGAGTGTTGTGGTGATATTATGTGCTAAAATAAGAGTGTTGCGGTAATATTATGTGTTAAAATAAGAGTGTTGTGGTAATATTATGTGTTAAACTAAGAGTGTTGCGGTAATATTATGTGTTAAACTAAGAGTGTTGCGGTAATATTATGTGTTAAACTAAGAGTGTTGCGGGAATTATATGTGTTAAAATAAGAGTGTTGTGGTAGTATCATGTGTTAAACTAAGACTGTTGCGGTAATATTTTGTGTTAAAATAAGAGTGTTGGGGTAATATTATGTGTTAAAATAAGAGTGTTGTGATGATATTATGTGTTAAAATAAGAGTGTTGCGGTAATATTATATGTTAAACTAAGAGTGTTGTGGTGACATTATGTGTTAAAATAAAAGTGTTGCGGTAATATTATGTGTTAAACTAAGAGTGTTGCGGTAATTATATGTGTTAAACTAAGACTGTTGAGGTAATATTATGTGTTAAAATAAGAGTGTTGCGGTAATATTATGTGTTAAACTAAGAGTGTTGTGATGATATTATGTGTTAAACTAAGAGTGTTGTGCTGATATTATGTGTTAAACTAAGAGTGTTGCGGTAATATTATGTGTTAAACTAAGAGTGTTGCGGTAATATTATGTGTTAAACTAAGAGTGTTGCGGTAATATTATGTGTTAAACTAAGACTGTTGCGGTAATATTATGTGTTAAAATAAGAGTTGCGTGCGGTGATATTATGTGTTAAACTAAGAGCGTTGCGGTGATATTATGTGTTAAAATAAGAGTGTTGTGGTGATATTATGTGTTAAAATAAGAGTGTTGCGGTAATATTATGTGTTAAAATAAGAGTGTTGCGGTAGTATTATGTGTTAAAATAAGAGTGTTGCGGTAATGATATGTGTTAAAATAAGAGCGTTGCGGTAATATTATGTGTTAAACTAAGAGTGTTGCGGTAATATTATGTGTTAAACTAAGACTGTTGTGGTGATATTATGTGTTAAAATAAGAGTGTTGCGGTAATTATATGTGTCAAAATAAGAGTGTTACGGTGATATTATGTGTTAAACTAAGAGTGTTGCGGTAATATTATGTGTTAACATAAGAGTGTTGCGGTAATATTATGTGTTAAAATAAGAGTGTTGCGGTAATATTATGTGTTAAACTAAGAGTGTTGCGGTAATTATATGTGTTAAACTAAGAGTGTTGCGGTAATTATATGTGTTAAAATAAGAGTGTTGCGGTAATATTATGTGTTAAACTAAGAGTGTTGCGGTAATATTATGTGTTAAACTAAGAGTGTTGCGGTAATTATATGTGTTAAACTAAGAGTGTTGCGGTAATATTATGTGTTAAACTAAGAGTGTTGCGGTAATATTATGTGTTAAACTAAGAGTGTTGCGGTAATATTATGTGTTAAACTAAGAGTGTTGCGGTAATATTATGTGTCAAAATAAGAGTGTTGCGGTAATGATATGTGTTAAACTAAGACTGTTGCGGTAATATTATGTGTTAAAATAAGAGTGTTGCGGTAATTATATGTGTTAAACTAAGAGTGTTGCGGTAATTATATGTGTTAAAATAAGAGTGTTGCGGTAATATTATATGTTAAACTAAGAGTGTTGTGGTGACATTATGTGTTAAAATAAAAGTGTTGCGGTAATATTATGTGTTAAACTAAGAGTGTTGCGGTAATTATATGTGTTAAACTAATAGTGTTGCGGTAATTATATGTGTTAAACTAAGAGTGTTGTGCTGATATTATGTGTTAAACTAAGAGTGTTGCGGTAATATTATGTGTTAAACTAAGAGTGTTGCGGTAATATTATGTGTTAAACTAAGAGTGTTGCGGTAATATTATGTGTTAAACTAAGACTGTTGCGGTGATATTATGTGTTAAACTAAGAGCGTTGCGGTGATATTATGTGTTAAAATAAGAGTGTTGTGGTGATATTATGTGTTAAAATAAGAGTGTTGCGGTAATATTATGTGTTAAAATAAGAGTGTTGCGGTAATATTATGTGTTAAAATAAGAGTGTTGCGGTAATATTATGTGTTAAACTAAGAGTGTTGTGGTAATATTATGTGTTAAACTAAGAGTGTTGTGGGAATTATATGTGTTAAAATAAGAGTGTTGTGGTAGTATCATGTGTTAAACTAAGACTGTTGCGGTAATATTTTGTGTTAAAATAAGAGTGTTGCGGTAATATTATGTGTTAAACTAAGAGTGTTGTGGTGATATTATGTGTTAAACTAAGAGTGTTGCGGTAATTATATGTGTTACAATAAGAGTGTTACGGTGATATTATGTGTTAAAATAAGAGTGTTGCGGTAATGATATGTGTTAAAATAAGAGTGTTGCGGTAATACGATGTGTTAAACTAAGAGTGTTGCGGTAATATTATGTGTTAAACTAAGAGTGTTGTGATGATATTATGTGTTAAAATAAGAGTGTTGCGGTAATATTATGTGTTAAACTAAGAGTGTTGTGGTAATATTATGTGTTAAACTAAGAGTGTTGCGGTAATATTATGTGTTAAACTAAGAGTGTTGCGGTAATTATATGTGTTAAACTAAGAGTGTTGTGCTGATATTATGTGTTAAACTAAGAGTGTTGCGGTAATATTATGTGTTAAACTAATAGTGTTGCGGTAATTATATGTGTTAAAGTAAGAGTGTTGCGGTAATATTATGTGTTAAACTAAGAGCGTTGCGGTAATATTATGTGTTAAACTAAGAGTGTTGCGGTAATTATATGTGTTAAACTAAGAGTGTTGCGGTAATTATATGTGTTAAACTAAGACTGTTGTGGTGATATTATGTGTTAAAATAAGAGCGTTGCGGTAATATTATGTGTTGAAATAAGAGTCTTACGGTGATATTATGTGTTAAACTAAGAGTGTTGCGGTAATTATATGTGTTAAACTAAAAGTGTTGTGGTGATGTTATGTGTTAAAATAAAACTGTTGCCGTAATGCATGTAGGATGTTTTAGAAAATGACTTGAAGTAATATGATTTGATAAGAAAATGTCTTGAAGTAATATACATGTATATCATGTAAAAAGAATGCTTTTGAAGTATTATCTTGGTATAAAAGTATGATAAAGTAATATCATGACTTTTGAGGTAGTGCCATGAGGTAATATCGTTTTATACAATTATGACTTGAAGCAATAAGATCGTGGCTGCTGATGTTAAATCGTGCTATAGGAATAACTGAGATGAGAATATGCCATAGGAATATGGCTACAGAGGGAATGTCTTATTAAAGAATGTGAACTAAGGTAATATCAGAAACAAAACATCAAACAAACCAGACATTTTACCATTTCCCGAGACACTTTATGGCCAGTTTATATACATGGATGGGGAAATGTGTGTGCCCATGACGTCTAGTTAACGCCCTCCCCCAGCCCGGCGCCATGTTGACATGTACCAACTGTCGCAGAAAGTATACACCCTCCATTGGTGGTGTCTCCAAGTGAAACAAACACAAATGGTTATTCGACCAGAGACCATATCATAGAGCCTCTAGTATATGGTCTCTGATTCCATGGTGATGTTTTTGATCCGGGTGTCATGGAGGTATTTAGAACCTTAAAGTTACAGTGTTTCGGTGACAGTTTTCAGGCAAATGACGTTTTGATAACATGTGTAATATTTGGGTCACATTCAAGTCCCATTTGCATACTTCGTACCGCCCGTCAGTTAAGTATGCGTTTTATGGCAGCTGAGAAGTGACACATTGGTCTGACCTAGGGGAACATGCACTACATCCCCAGTGGTGGGGTGGGCTGCGGAAACACACTGGGACTCATGGCATGCTCATCTTGCTGAGAATCAACCAGCATGCTTCCCCTTAAACTTGGCACCTGTCTATCGACAATGCCGACTGAGACAGTTAAACCAGTTCTAAATGTATCGCAGTAAGGAGTTTATATAAGCAATATAAGCAATGTGTGGAGCTTATTGCGCAACATTCTGCGCGGGCAGAGCCGGAATCTCTCTTAACTAAACAATTGTCAGGCTCCTTTGGCGTTTACTTCCAGTGACTCATTTTCTCCATTCTTTGATTAAACTATTGCCGACTTCAAGTAAGTCGTTGTGTAAAACTGAACCAGTGATACGTGGTTGTGTGACAGGAGCAAGTGATCCGTCAGTTTCCCCCCCGGGCG